GAAATGTTGATTGTATCATGCACTATTTGGACAACGTTAACGTTATCTTCTTTCCTTCTACACTTCAGAGGCTTCTGCGAGCATGAGTTTGGAAGCGAGAACATTACATCAAGTTATCATAACTTCAAGTCTTCAGAGTCTTTAGAACCGCGTCTTTAGAGTCTTCAGTACTTTGTTATGAGAACCTTTCCTCAAAACCTTGGGTCTTTAGAGCTTCAAATCTTTAGAATCTTTAGAACTTCTGCCTTTAGAGTCTTCAGCACTTGTGTAGTGGTAGAAATATTGAGACTAAGCCATTGGATTGACTTAACTCATACAGATCAAAATAAAAATCACCACCGCGCTTTATTATTTCCAGAGGAATGGGAAAGAGCGAATAACCCAGAAAAAAAGGGGGAGAGAATCTAGGTACGTATGCAAAGGGAATGTATTAGCACCCTAAATATCTAGGATTCTCCGTCGGAACCTCTTTGAAAATTTGTGTAATTTGGCTATAGGTGTTGTATACAAAAATAGATTGTGGGGATTAGAAAAGAAGTATTTTTTTATAAGTTTTGCACCCTCCGTGGTTGCGAACCTTTAGTTCCTACGTACCACCTTCCGTGCAATAGGGGATCAGGGTACTCGTAGTTCACCTTTTAAAAAAATTTAAAACACAAGTGTGTTGGTTAATTTTAAGAGACGAGACATCATCGTCGTATACGAGTGAAATAACATACTTACTATCCACGATTATGAGAAAGGAGAATTTGCGTCATCTCAAAATGGAGGATATAGCTTGGATTTTAAAATCAACAAAGCCTCACTCAACACCCAAGTGGAAAATATATCACTTCATTATATATCATGAAAGTATAGTAGCTCACATCACTACAAGGATTGACAAGAGTCTAATCTTTTGAGAAAATTTTAAAGTAAAAAGCCAAAGTGGCAAAATGATTTGAATGAGATTGATTGACTTTTAGTCTTCTCACAAAAAAATGTCAAAGTATTATTAAGTTGGTTAAAATTTGATTAGGAAAACATTTTGCAAATGCATGGACCTAAGTCCAAGTTTGTTATAAAAGTGGTTCCAGTTTAAAACAAGAAGAGTTTTCAAAAGAAGTGATAAGATTTTTGAAATTAAAGAAGATGGGAGGAGATGAAGGGACTATCCTAAAGCATAAGGCAAAAGCTAGGGAAAAGAATAGTTTAACCAACAAGAAGCCAACACTTGACACAAAGAGTCAACATAGAATTCCCATCCTTTGGATTGAAACCAGGCAAGCAAAGATACTAAACCTCTTAAAATACCAAGATTCAAATGTATAAGTCTTCACAAAAATTGGGTAGAGTAACGGCTGTATACAGATGAATTCCCGATCACAGACAAAAGCATGTAATCAAAACAACTTGCACACAAAGCAAATAAACAATCCAATGTCTTGGGGTAAACCACAAGAACTCCAGACAATATTGCAATAAAAGTCACAAGGTCTCAAGGTAGGTCAATGTCTCTAATCCTAAATCCAAGAAGTCAGCGATCTTCATAATGCCAAGGATAGTAACAAATAGTCCAAGTAACATTAAAGTTTTTTATGGTTCAAATTGATTATTAGGTATATTTAAAAAGAAATGAGAATCTCAAGTGATCAAAATAAAAATGACATAAATATAAATGCTCAAATGAGCAAAGATGTAAATGCTAAAATAAAATGGTGCATAAAGTAAAGGCATAAAATAAATGCATAAAATAAAGGCAATTGTTAGAAATTAGAGGTTAGCTGAATGACCATCTTGAAACTTGCATTTGAAAACTCATTAGAAGATTGATAAAATCAAAGCCTCTCAATAACAAGTTTCATTTTCTTTTTGTCAAGTATATCATTCATTTTAAAATCTCAAGGCAACAATGAATGATCAATGATGTTTAAGTGTTTCACTTTGACCAAAGCTTATGAAGATTCATTAGAGGATTGATAAGACCAAATCATCCTCATAATGAATCATAAGATTATTGGATCAAAGGTTTCAAATTAACATACTTGGGATTGAAAACATAGGTTTGGGCCACGAATGATCATTTCTCGAATTGGGACAAAACTTAGCGCAATGTTAAGCAATCGTAAGTGGACTTATATAGAAGTCACACCTATTTTGAGGCTGGTCAATAGCAATCTATGTACCATATGTTTAGAGAAATGATATGTAAATTATTCCTCAACAATATGTAGTACAATTAAGAAGGGGATAAGATGAAGGGGGAGGGGATAAGAATTAAACCACATTTGAACCAAAAATTTAATCAAGCTATCATTAAAATCATTCATCCGTTTTGATGGAGTCACTAGTGCAGAAATGACTTTTTACATCGGGTGAAATTGACTTTTTACATCGGTTTTGGGTCCGATGTAAAGTCAGGCGATATAGTAAATCAGGGACTTTTTACATCGGTTATGGGACCGATGTAAAAAGTCCCTTTTTTACATCGGTTATAATATCAGAACTGATGTAATAACCTGTTATTATGCATATTTTTTAAAAAATTGATCCAGTTTTTTACATCGGTTGGAAGTAATACCCGATGTAAAAAGTCCATTTTTTACATCGGTTATAATATATGAACCGATGTAAGAAACAGTTATTATGCACATTTTTTAAAAAAATTGATCCAGTTTTTTACATCGGTTGGAAGTAATACCCGATGTAAAAAGTCCCCAGTGACGCGACTTTTTACATCGGTTATTATCCCCAACCGATGTAAAAAGTCCCTTTTTGAAAGTTTTCACATCAATTTTGAGTAATAACCGATGTAAAATGTATGAAATTTTTTTGGAATAGATTATTTATTTTCTGGGTTTCCATATACAAATATAATTTGTACCCATTTTTTCATATTTTTCCAATATCAAACAGACTATATTTATGTCGCTATATAGATTTCATAGCTTTCCAACATCACATATATCACATTTAGGTCGATGTTTTCATATTTTTCACAACAAACTTACAAATTGAACAATTGTATTGCAAACTTGTATTGTATTACAACAAACAAACTTACAATTACAAATTCTTCACAAAATATAAAACAATATTCGACTATTTATAAGTCTTTTTCAAAACTTACAATTACATAATATTCACAAAATATACATATACAAAAATATTCAACTATTTCTAAGTTTCCAAACTTGAATTACCAATATAAAATCTTCGGTAGACAACACCAAAATCATATTGCCTGACAATAAATAATAACAATTAACATCAGCAAAAAAAATTAAGAAACTCAACACATGAGCAAAAACCACATGTATTGTGCAAAAACCACAACTTATACAATTCTTTTGTCATAGGTTTCTAAATTTTCCACTTCTTTTATTTGGTGAGCATAAAAATAGGAGAAAGGGATTCAAATATAATAGTATAATAATAGTAACAAGAATGGAACAAAGTATAAAACACACGAGTAACAAAGTGTAATTTATAATAGTATAGTAATAGTAATGAGACTGTAACAACGAATTGATAAGAAAAATTTGGCAAAACATTGGTTTTAAACCAAATATCGTTGAACAACTATTTGGTAACATAATTAGAATATTAATTATTTATAAAAATTTAGATACTCCCTTCCACTATTTCTCTCTTTTCAATCTCTTCTTACAATCTAACATACTTTAAATATAAACTCAAAGAGGAATAATGCTAATCACTCATTTTCAAACAAAAATTTGCACTTACAGTTGAAACGGCGAGCGAAGAGTCGTGAAGGGCGTGAATCGACCGGCGAGGAGTCGTGAAATGGAGATTCCAAGATTCCGAGATTGCAAGTTGTCACTATAGTTTTTCCAAGTCTTCCTTTATATTTAGCTGTTGGACTCACAATGCAAATGGAAATTGAAATTGTTATAGCAACATGCAAAAGTAAGACAATTTCCATGGAGAGTCAGTAAGAAACAAGGCCAAACAATGAAAAGGCCAAACAATTTGACACAAAAACATGTATAGCTACGATATATTTGCATTGTGAGTAAAACAAAATTGCATACATACAGTTGAATTTCTTTTTGGCTATAGTTCCATTGTTGAGAGAGTATAAAAAGTTCCTCACAGCTTCAGCATTGAACCGAGCACTATACTGCAAATAAAAACAAATCGCATTAAAACCCTTACTAACCCACGAAAAATCCAACAAAACAAATTAACAAAATAAAAAACATAACCAGAACAACAACAATATAGTACTTAGAGTTTTTTCGATTAGAACAATCAACAAAATTGGCAGGAGCTTTTATTTGGTGAGCATAAAAATAGGAGAAAGTATAATAGTATAATAATAGTATAATAATAGTAACAAGAATGGAACAAAAATTTGCACTTACAGTTGAAACGGCGAGCGAAGAGTCGTGAAGGGCGTGAATCGGCCGGCGAGGAGTCGTGAAGGGCAATCGGCGGAGAGGAGTCGTGAAACGGAGATGGTGAAGTCGTTCACGGCATTACTAGCGTCGGTGGGCAGCGGTGGGCAGCGGTGGGCGTCGCGACGACGGTGAGTCGTTGATGGTGTTGGAGTCGTTGACGGTGTTAGCGGCGACGGTGAGTGGTTGACGATGTTGGCAGCGGTGGGCGTCGCGGAGAAAATGGGTCATAAAATGGAGGAGATGTACAGTGATATTCAATCGAGACCAAATCCGGGTCACACAATAGCTCAAAAATGTCACTAAAAATCACCTCAGAATTAGAAACTGACACCTTCGAAACTAACCCGAAACCGCTCAAATTATATGAAATTGAGACTTAAAATTCAACCACAAATTAACTTTCCAATTATCACAAACATGCTATGTTAATCACCTTGTCATTAATTCATTCAAACCAATTGCAATACATGAAGAAGAACAAGTAATGTCATCTCTAAACCAAGTTCATACCACCAATTTCACCATTGATTTAATCACAACTCCAACCAAACAATTTCCACCAATAATGTCAATACAAACCTTCTTCGAATTATAACAATGTCATCAAACAATTCCTCAAGTAAGCAACAATATTATCCAACTTCAACATTAATCTCAATCATTGTCAACAAAACAAATGCAAACACAACTAATTTTTTAACAATGTCCTCACTATCCTCCAACCACAAAACTCACATTATCACTACCAACCTTCAATATATCATCACTAGCTCAACCATTCAAAATTGACACAAATCAATAACAATATCCATCACTAATTTCTTCAATCATTCAACAACAACTTCTACAATTTATCAACAATAATTCCATTATCTTTATCATTCCAATTCCAACAATTTAGAACAACAACACCAATGTCATCATTATTAAGCAACCCACAACAAGAGCTACATCATCAACAAATAGAACCACAACAAATGGTAGTGAAGAATGCTTACCAAGCAATGAGGAAGGAGGAGTCACTTATGGTGTTGGCCGGTGGTAGCTATGGGTTGTAGCTCCCGTTGGTGGTGGTGAAGTTACAGAGGGAGTACCCGTATCTGATGATGGCAGTAAGCGGCGGGAGTATCTCGGAAGCAGGTGGGAGTGTTTATTCGGTTCGATGAGTTCGGAGGAGGTACGTAGACGGAGGGTGAGTGTTGGTGGTTACGCGAAACAGAAGGCGTGTGGATGTTGCGGTCGGTTGAGAGAAGAGGAAGATGAGTGGTGGTGACCGGGAGAAATCCGAGCAGATGAAGGGAGTAGGCTGGAAGGAGTAGCGCTCAAGAGATGAAGATGATAGCTATTGTGCCTTCTTATTTGAATCGTAGATCTGAATACCTTTTCTATATGAATGGACTCGCTTTGTTTCTCACTTGTTACTGTAGCCTTACAATAACAATTTAATATATAATATCAACTTAGGTTAAGAAATTTATTTAATGTCCAAACCGATGTAATATCTTGTTTTTTTTTTTACACGCGTTTTTTATGATTTTTTAATATATTTTATATATTAATTCAAGCGACCATTTTTTACATCGGTTTTTAGTTAAACCGATGTAATAGCTTGCTTATATTTTTTTAACGTTTTTGTCACCTTGTTTCTTATTTACAAAAATGCCACCGTGTTTTTTTTCTGGAAATCTTTTACATCGGTGGATGAGATTGCCCGATGTAATAGGTGACGGAAAAAAAAAATTCCCTTATTTTTTATATCATTGCAAATAAATACCTGATGTAAAAAGTTTGTTAACTGTATTTTTTACATCACATATTTTGATACCCGATGTAAAAACTTTTTCTCAAATGTCTTTTTTTTAGTAGTGAGTTAAACTCAACACCCAAGATCCAATGATGTTAATGAAGCTCACGATCAAAATCTCATAGTTCAAGATCAGGCAAAATATATACAAAAATAAAATTGTATTTAAAAATAAAGAAAATGATTTTTAAAATGGTTTTAAATAAAAATAAATGGGGAAAATAGCAACTATATTCAAAACATCCAAGAAAAATTCAATGAGACCATAGAAAAATCATAAATGAGCTCATATATTTTTATACATTTTTTGGTAATTTTTTAAAATCAGAAACTATTTTTAAAATTAAAAGAAATAGGCAAAATAAACCAAAAATTGTGAAAAATAGTAAAGTCAGAAATAAAAATAAAATGAGGTCACCAATATTTGTCAAAAGGTCATTGGATCCTTCCATATTTTTTTCATAATTTAAAAAGTAAGAAGAGTATTTTTTAAACAATTAAAATAACCCAAATAAAGTGAAAAATATAAAAAATATAAAAAACACAAAATAAAATTGTGAAAAAATAATAATCCAAAAGAGAAAAACCAAAAGTATTTTTAAGAATTTTTTTCAGATTTTTTGAAGTTAAAATGAATTTTTTATGAATTTTTAAAGTTTAAAAAAAATAAAATATAAAATTAGAAAATAAAATAAAAACCAAAAAGATGTAGACCATTGGATGAGAGTCAAAATGCGTTAGTAAGCTAATCCAATGGATCACAGACGCGTTGTGCATATCATGGTCCTTGGTGAATAAAACACTGAATCATTTATTAAAATCAGAATTTAAAAAAAACAAATGGCACAATATCATTGGTTGAGAAATGACACATTGGTCATCTTCAACCTCCAGCTACGCGAATTGCAGGTCTCTGAAATGGAAAACTTAGAGCTCGAGACCGGTACCATTCGCTTCGTCTCTTCAAGACGATTCCAATGGTACCCTCGTGAAAAATTTATGTAAGGTGTTGCTCAATCGTTTTGGAATGAAAGATTTGAAAAGGGATTTGAAAATTCATGGCCAAAACTCACTTCCAGTTGAAAAGAAATGTTGCGACTAGAATCAGAACGATGAGAGCTTCATTACAGTACCAAAGTTTGAGAGAATTCGTGAAAGAATCTACCTATTGAAGTTCAAACTCATAGCTCTCAAACTTGACTTGGCTAGCACGATTTAGGAAGTCTTAGAGGTTGGTTCTTATTCTGTTAGCTTCAGTGAATTTCAAGGATGATGAATTGACAAAGAAAATGGATTGAGGAAAGTTGTAAAACCAAATTCGAAGTTGCAGAAAAGTGGGTTCAAGAGAAAGTTTGGCAGGGTGATTCTAGCTATCTAAGCTTGCGAAAATGAGTGGGATAGAGCCTGTATTTATAGGAGAAGTGAATGGAATCAAGAGGAGGGGTGAATGATGTAATTTAGAGGGAAATCGTACACACCTGTTTTCATGAAATAAGTGTGACCACATGTGCATCAAAACTCATCCAGATGATGCGTTTTGACACTCTAAATCATCCACACGTTTATGCTAATCATGTTAAGTAGAAAACACGCACGAATTTGGTGATTGGAAGTCAAATTATGGAAATTGCATTTTGACTGTTTGAGAAACTTCAGTTCCAAGGTACCAACTTTGAAATCATGGTGCGGACAAATTAGGGAACCTTATGACTTGATTCTTGATACATTAGAAAGATAAGATCACCAACTTTACAATGTGAAAAGAATAAAATCAAATGGATGCTTGAGCTGAAAGTTGTGATGAGTCAAAGTTGAGAAAAAGATGTTGACTTTTTGTACTTAGAATAATTCTCTGTTTTTCTTCAAAAATGACTTATAATGTCTTGCATCCAAACATGACCTTCCATTTAAAATTTTCTCTTGACCAAAAAAGATGGCATGAAGTAGATCTCTTGAATGACATTTTCTATTGTAAATAGAAGTTGTTGAGGATGATAATAAGAAACCATAGTAACCATAACCACTTCCCCAAACATTATTAATTGATGGAAATATGCACTTGAGATCAAGAAATCAAGAACTTGTCCACTTAGGTCAAACCTCTTCAATCAACTTTTGCATCCTTTGCCTTATTTGAAAAATTGAGGCATGATTAATCATAGTAGGCCTAGTCATGATGTCACTTCAAAGCATCTTCAATGATGATGTTTTAGCCTCAATGAAATCTTGTTGATAAAGGTGTGATCGATGGAAATAGAACTGACTGTTTGAAATGCTGGTTCACAAAATGTCGCGGTAAGCAAGAGTCGCCACCGTCTTTTATTTTCTCCAATAAGGAAAGGACAAAAGCACAGCAAAATTCCTTTTCGAGATATTTCTCGGTTCGGGAGGTAGATTATAGAAAGGGAAGGTGTTAGCACCCTTTCTATCTGTGGTTATCCACGGGCTCTTAGGTACTTGCTCACTATGTTTTCAAAATTTGTTTGCTTTTCTTGTGTTTGTGGGTTTTGAAAAAGTTTAGTTTGAAAAACTTCTAGGTATCTCTTGTATCAGTCCTCAAGAGTGTATGAAGTGTTTGTTTGAAAACTTTTTGAAAGTGTGAGTGTGAAAAGTTGTTTTTGTTTTGAAAGAGCAAGTACCCAGGAGAAATCTACCTACTCTAAGGAATTAAGTTGTGTAAGAGTCCTTTAGACAGTACCATCCCACTATTGAGAAGTAGGTAGCACCGTCGTTGGAGTTATTCGGGTCAATTCGATTATAGGGACATGTGTGGTCACCAAAGCAATAGTAGGACGCCTTAGCGGTAACCCTAATGTCCTAGATCCTTTTTATCCGAGGCAACCATTTCGAGGCAACTGGATCTTTAGACAGGAGGGCGACCTCTAAAACACCCTATACTTAATGACCACCTCGAGGCAACCAAGTGAGGCGTACCCTAGGAGTGGCATGTGCACGTGTGTCCAGTTTCATGTTAAATTATCTTTGCACATTTTTATGGTGAGCTACGGGTTGATTTTATTTTTCAGGTAAGTCTTATCATGCATAGTTAACAGTTAATAATTGTGCGAAAAATAAAGTGCGGAAAGTGAATCTACGCTATTACAAGGCGTCGGGTATTTACATCGCCAAAAACATAACCCTTAAAAATAAATGCGAGAAAATAAAGAAAGCGATAAAAGTCCTAATTATCTATTACATTCTCGGAGCAGATACATAAATATAATCAAAATAGGAATAATGCGTGAAAGAAATTGAATCGGGACGTCCTTAGGGTTTTGACCCTTTTTGAGAAAAGATTGGAATTTTGGTCCTTTTTTTAATTAATATTAAACCTAAAACTAATTAATTAATTAATTAAAAGAAAAAGTATTTTTGTGTTTTTTATATTTTAATGAAAATAAAAATAAAAGAAATTAAAATTGTCAAAAGAAAAACCTAATTCTAGATTGATTTTATTTATTGAAAAAAAGATTAAAGTTAACCTAATTTACTAAATTAATTAATTTACATTTATTTACAAAACAATTAATAGTGAAATAAGAAAATATTGTTTTCTGAATTAATTATGAAAATAGTTAATTTATGAGGTAATTAAATAATAATAATAATAGTTAATAAAAAATAATTAAATAGAAAATAGAAAAAATGAGAAACAAAACCCTGGGGGTGTTGGGCCCAATAGGGAGGTATGCTAGAAAATTCAAGCCCATGAAGCTCTCCAGCCTGTTTGACTTTCTGGTTTGCCTATGCGTGCTTTGACTTGGAGTATGGTGGTCATCCACTTATGACCTTCTGATTTGTACACGTAGCCACTTGGCATGCTGAGCACTGGAGGTATATGGTGGACTCTTTTGTTTTTCCTGCATGTGATCATATAAGAAAAAATAGGATCAAAGGTTTGGGGGGACCTGGGAATCGAACCCAGGTCCCAATGATTCTTGGACAATGCATCCATCACCAGGCCACTCGCTTGCATTTGTTAGAATAATAATGAGTAAATATAATATAAAAAAACATGACAATTATGCTGGAAACAAAATCACGCGCGCTTTTATTTGAACGCTCCAATCACAAGCCAACACGCAGTCATCTTCCTCGTTTGCCTGTAAAAAGAATAAAGAGATAGCGGGGGTTTTTAACCCCCACAAAATAGGACGACCAAAAATAGCGAATAGAGCTATGCTCTATATAAATATGGTGCGATGGTCTCAATGCATTCGTCTCGTCCTGACGGTCTCAACCATGGGTCTTAGAGGTCCCAATTTTTCCTGTATGGGAAAGCCCTAATTCAAGAACTCAAGAACCCTAGAATTCTCCAATGGCAACTTTCGATTCACTGCATAATAATTCAATTAACCTATGCCAAAAGCTTTGTAAAGGTTCAAGCAATGCAAAACAGTCAATAAATCATGTTAAACGTGCATGAAATATGAATTATGATTATGAACAAAAGTGACAAACCGTGAGTC